GTTGAAATTTTTTTAAACTTTACTAAGTGGGCGATGAGCCAAAAAGTTTGTGAATGTATGGGTTAAAGTATTTAAAGCACGATATATATTCTGCTTAATAAAGAACGCTACATCCCACTAAACAAATTAGAAATAATAGAATCTTAAGCGATTAATGCTTCTACGAGAAAAATATGTTAATTGATATTTAGGACGAGATGTGAATTTCTCAACAATACAGAAGAAGTGAAGCTGAGCCGAGAAAATAACAAATGAAAACGTTTTAAAAAGGTAATGAGAAATATTTTACAAGCAATTCTATTGCAATAGAATTACTTCTAAAAGAAGGTGAAGGTGAATGTTTAGATATTTGTTACATAATGACGATTTCATAAATGTTAAAATACTGTGTGATTTCTTTAACTGGAACGGTGAGGAGACATTAGAAATCACAGGAGATAAAGGGAAACTGTCTTAAGAACTATTAGGTCAAGCGTTAGTTGTCCATAAAATTGAATATTATTGATTGATTCTTTTTTAATGCTGATCGTGTCAGTTACACAACAAACTGAGAGAGAAGGATCAGTTCATTGTGTCAGAGGATAAGCGAAGTGAAAGCAGAAGTTTTGGACAAATTTAATAAAATGTTATTTCATTCAATCATAATAGAAATGCTTAATATTCAATACTATACTGAAACATATTTTTCATACTCTTCGACACAGCCTCTTCAGGTGATGAAAATCGTTGACCGCGTGACTGGTTCTTAATTTTTGGAAATAAATAAAAGTCACAAGGTGCCAGGTGGGTAACAGTAGCCAACAGTGTCCAGTTTTATTAAAACAAGAAGCAATCATCCGCTTAGAAGCACTTTGCACGCGCCACAGTGGTTAGTTTCGGCTCATCTCGAAAGACCCATACGCTCGATTGCTGCTTTGTTTTGGGATCGCAACTATAAATCCATGTTTCGTCATCTGTTACTATGTCTCACACCAAATTTGACGCCCCTTCGTTGCATCTGGTAAGCATGGCATTGCACCATGTGACGCGGTCCGTTTTTTGAGCCTCAGTCAAATTGTGTGGGATCCACTGAGAGCACAGCTTTTTCACACCCAAATGTTTGTGTAGTATTGATTGCATTTGACTCATGCCTATGCCTAAAGATGCCCGAATTTCATGGTATGTCACATGCCTGTTTGTTTTGATCATACGGCGCACAGCATCGATGTTTTTGTTGTTCACAGCAGTGAACGGGCGACCATCACGAAATTCGTCACTGAGATTCACATGACCGCGTTTGAATTCTGCAAATCAGCTATAAATAGTCGTCTTGCATGGTCCTTCATCGCCAAAAGCAGTTTGAAGCCGAGCGAAGCTCCGCTGAGCTGTTAAAGTACACTTAAAGTCTTGAAAATCATACTACGAAAATTTTCACGAGTTAAATCCATGGTGATGTAGACAACCAATTTCTAAAATCACGCCACAGTGTAAAAACAAGTGACAGTCAGATGAAACAAACTGTATTCTACAGCCAAAGAGTTCCATTGTAAACGTTGTAATTACTTTTTAAATATTGTTTATGTAAGTGGCCAGTTCCGGAAACTTATAGTGCGCCCTATGTAAATATTGTATGAAAATTAGTAGGGGCTTCTACAAAAGAAGCGCCCTAAATTAAAAATTTTATGAAGGAAAGAGAAGGAGACGAAGACGGATAATAGCATTTAGGGAACAGATTAAAAGAAAGTCTAAGTAAGCAGCTATTAAGAGGTCAAGGAGCTGGCTATGGATCGTGAGGAATGAAGGAAGCTACACCGTCAAGAGAATAAATAGAGCTAAAGAAGAGAGAAGTACCTAATCGAAATATTTATGGTTCCGTAAAGAAAAATCATGAACAATGTTTCGAAGTTCAATTTTCAATTCAATCAATTTATTAAACACTACTAATCATTCGTAAGTCAGATTCCTAAAAAAAATGAGAAAGAAACTAAGGGTTGCGCTTGTAAATATATATGTATTTATTCATACTTATCATTACCAGTAATTTGAAAAAATATCATAGGTGGAAACAACCTGATAGAATTTAAAGGGTCACTCCCAAGGACGATTATACTATATAGATATATATAGATTATAGATACGAGTAAATTTTTGAAGTGGTTACATAAAAAAAACTTTGCTATAACTTAGTTCATTTTAGATTTTAATTTGATCATAAGATTGTTTACTTAGCCTTTTTTCAGTGACGTGTCACTAACATAAGTCTCGTATATCTGCAGCTAACAGCAAAACATAAACAGGTAACAAAACTGTCTGACCACATTTCAGCTGGCTAACTGACTCATTTAGCAAATAAATAACACTCAAATGTCGAATAATAATTTTACTTCCCCAAACAAAATGTGAGCAGTCAATAAAAATTTGGTTACAGATAAAACATGTTTTTGTGCAAAATAAAAATTATTGTCTTCCTACATTGTATGGTATTGTCATGCTTGGTACCTGTAATATTAGTCAAACTTTTTTGTTACACATGTCAAGCATCATCAAAAAATTATTAGCAGATGTTGGAACAGGCAGGCAGGCATGACTACCTAAACTCTGCCATCCAGTAATTAAATTGCGGCTATGTGACATAACCATTTTTTGAGAAATCATAGAAAACCATAGATAACCCAGTTTTAGAATATTGAATTTTTTTTATGATATTTTAGCTATGCATTATTAGGGTAAGTTCCAATAAGTCAGATAAGTTAACTTTAACTGTTTTGAAATAGAGAATTTCGAGCTCTATCTTTTGCTATTTAAAATGAATGTTTGAACACTTGTCACTTTTGTGGACAACAGAACGTTGTTAAAAAATTAAGAAAACTGCCCTTACTGATTTCTCATCATTACTCACCATTATTTATTTACTCACTAACAGACAGATTCTATTAAACTGGGAGACTCTTTTGTGGTCGAACTGACTACTATTGCATTTACCCTGATTGAGTATTGCATCAAAGCCCACTTAACATTTTTCAGGACAGATTCTATTCTACGTATATAAATGTGATCAACTGATAGAATCGTCTCTTAACATAACGTAAGATGGTGGCGAATGATGGGCTCCTCCAAGAAGAGAGTAGACTGGCAATTGTCCGCTAAACAGTGTACTTTGATATCTTAATTCTAATGTTTGAAAAAAATGCTAATGTTCTAATTCTAATGTTACATTTTGTGATAAAGATTTGATTACTATTATAAGTTCTTAAACAATTTTTTAACACTATTAAACATCATAGTAAGTAATTACCATAGTCGTTTTCCTTAAAACCTTATTGCAACATTATCAAAACATATTTTCCTTAGAAAATCAACGTATTAGGGTGCGTTTCCACTGATGCAGAGCTGGGCGGAATGGAGAGGAGCGGACCGTGAATTGGCCAATCACAATGCTCGGAATCTCCAGTCCGCATCAGTGGAAATAATGTAAGTGGAGCAGAGCGGAGTTTCAAATAAAATATATGAACACGCAGCCCCGGGCCAGACAGAACGGAGTGGGACGGTGCGCCGTGGCGGGTAGGGTAGACTTGTCAGGAAAGGACTTGTTTGCTACATTTTAGTTTAGTAAGCGATATTATATCATAAATTTTACTCGTCATCAACATTGCATGTGAATTAAAATGGGTAAGAAGCTAATTGAAAGTGTCAAAAAATTTCCATGTTTATGGGATACACAACTGACAACATACAAATGCAATGAAACCAAAGATGCAAATAAAAGCGCTGCTTTTTTTACCGACATCATGACATATGCTCTCTCCAAGATATTGAATTTTACTGATTTGGAACATGGCTCAATGCAGCTCTGGTCTGCACAACTCAGCTTTGCTCCACTCCGCCCCGCTTCGCTCTGCTTCAATAGTAACACTTGCCACTTTTCACTGCTCTTCTCCGCTCCACTTCGCCCAGCTCCGCATCAGTAGAATCCCTAACTTTACCAGATATTTTAGTGTATAATTTTTGTGATGCAAATAATCTAGAAAACACCAGTAGAGAGTAATAAGCTGTACAGACAAGCTGTCGGCTGCCGTACTACTACACTATCCACAACGAAACTTGTCAGTATGCCACAATTCAACTATTTCTGCCCCCATGATTTGCGAAAAACCATTAGTGGCGTGTCCGTCCATGTCCTAGAAAACTTTATATGTCGCTATCGCTTTGAATATCAGTGATATAGAACACACGTGCTGTTTGTTAATGATACCAACAACAATCCAATAATAATTAATCTAATACTAAAGGCTGTATTGAACTCTGATCGTAACAATTACATGAAAACAATAGTACATGCAAAGGATGGGAAAACTTCATTGTTTATAAATTATGTTATATAGGCAATGAATAGAACTAATGAGGAAAACATCATTTAATTGTAAAACTTACCTGTTTGTTTGACGAATCTGCGTATTATTTGAGTTTGTGAGAAAAAATAACGATCTACCAGGAAACATAAAAAAAAATCGGTTAAAAGAATGCATAAATCACCAATTAACCTCAACCAAAACAATACACAGAGATATTTACATGAAAAATGGCACTTTGACATTTCGCCTTTTTGGTAAATAAAAAAGTAAATTTCTGTTTACACCTACACATTTCGAGCTATTACAGTGTTATACTAATTGCCTAAGTATCATCTGTGTAGTAATAATATCACTTTTTGCGCGCAGCTCAGATTCCATGTAAGCGAATCACAAATGTGTGTCTATAAAGATCGTTTGTGTAAAAACTACAGGAATTATGTTACATAATAATATTTTTGCACATATAACTATTCTTTCCAATTTAGGGAAGAAAACATTAAGTGTTTGTTTCTTGGACAGCTAATTAATACCAAGTATTACTAAGCATTTTAATACAATAGAAAGCTTTGAAAATGCTCATTCAATCGTTCCCGCCTATTCTATGTCCAAAAGTGAAAAAATCTGCAGAAAATAAGTTTTAATTTAAACCCATGTTTTGTTCATTTGCAGATGTACCGGCTGCGCTAAGTACAGTCAAAAAATGCACGATAATACAAAAATGGAGATTCCTGATATTCAAGACAGCGTAAGTATTTACAAAAATAATAATGATAAATTTACAAATAAAATAGATAAATTAAACAGTGAATACATGAAACATTCACATATTAAACAATAATCTTCAGAGAAGGTGAGTTATAAATTATAATACACTAATTGCTTGGCTAATCAATTTAATTCATCTAAATATAGGTATACAATAATAAAAACCGTCGCGTACAGTGTTCAACAAGTTGCCTAATTGACTAGTCTTCGAACTGTTGACAAACCAAAGCATTTCTATGTATTTAAAATATAATTGGAACGAACTTTAGACCAAGACTGTACACTGTACATTGCATTATTATTGGCCTCAGTCCAAAATGAACTTACAATAGTTTTAGCGATACACTTGGTGCATTTTAAATTAAAAAAATACTTCAACTGAAGCGTAAAATGACAAAACTAGTGTTTACTCCTTAGTGAATAAAGGTAAATATTGTTTGATAACTGTGATACCTACCTAGCTTGTAATTGATACTTACTTATAGTGATGTGAATGATTTTTGGTGAAACAAAAATGAATATAAACAAAACGACTTATCAAAAAAAAGTAACTAAGCAGCGATTATTATACAAGGTTAGTGTATCTTATTACCTACGTATATCGACATATTTTACGTGTTGTATTTGCTAGTGTATTTCACCAGCAAATAAACAGGCACATGGGATTATCAACTTAGTCTCGGGGTGACGAGTGCGGTGGCAGTGCTCCTCAAATCTTTTATATTTGAAGTTGTGAGTAGGTAACACTGCAACTGCTATGGACAGGCGTGTCGCTTAATAATACCAGACGCACGACTTGTTCGTCTCATCACTTGTTTCATAGTAATAATCCGAACCGTGTAGCTACAATTCCTATTACGCTACGTAGTTACCTGCCGAGTTTCAAAATTGCCACCGTAATTATACATCGAGCATATTGTAGAAAAATTGCAATGTAAGATCTGGTAGTATAGCCAATATTACTACTATAATACCTACTAGTGATGCAACAGACCTCTGTTTCTGCTTTTCCAATTAAAAAAATAAAGAGGAAGCTTTTTCACGTCGGTTTCCGTTTCTGATTCCACAACTTTTATAACGGAAATTTTATCGACCGTTTATAACGTTCGCGATAGTTCAGGCGAGTGCGCGTATTCTTTGGCGGTACGGTAGTGCCTGAGGCGCGTGGATCTTAGCAGTTTCGTGATATTGTATACAAACCAAATACAACCCCAGTTTGGATGCGAACTAGTTCATTAGATCTTTGTAGTATTTACGCTTCCGCTTCCGTTTCTGCTAAAATTTGCTTTTGACATCTGTTTCTGTTTCCGGTATGACATTTCCCTTGCACCACTACTACTTACCTATGCATTTGGGTTGTACCTAGTAATAAAAAACAGAAGTAGTACAATCATATAATTTTAAAATCGTAATGATTTTGTTTCAAAACAATAATTTACCTTGACCATGTGAGCGTAAGTAACCAGATGACTAAATAGGTATGTAATTATACACAGAGATAAGAAAACCAGACTTCTTGGTGCAAACATTGACGTAGGGTTTGTTTAAGCATTACCTCTAGGCTAATTTTAAAAATCGATAGGGTTAAACAAAAATCAAAAGCAACCAAAAAAAATTTAATTGGTTTGTATAAGAGCGAACATCCCATGTAAGGCGAGCTTGACTACTTTATTAACACTAGAAACCCTTGTAAAAGAGTTTGTCCAAGGAAATACCTACTGCCACCTTACCTATTTCTGCCGCCAAGCGGTAAAGCGAGTATAAGGGCGCCTTCAAATTAGACGCTTGCAGAAGCGCTGCATTGGCGCGACCATAGATTTAGTCTATAGGTACCCTATATACTAAAACGATGGGCGCTACTGTAGCGCGGTAACCGCGTATCTGTAGCGCTTCAGTCATTTTTAGTTCACTAATTGTGACTGTAAAATAGGTGCGCGCGTATCACGACAGTGGCGCTTTCATATATTGTATAACAATTAGTAGTGGCGCAGCTGCAGCGCCATAGTGGTGCTACTGCAGCGCTTTTATAAGATTCTTATTCGAAGGGGCCTTTACTGTATTCCGGTTTTTAAAAAGTAAGGGTGGTGATGTAATGTGTCGAAGCAATGTGACTTCTCTAGTAGGTCACTGGATTGCATATTGAAGGAAATGTTGAGTAGGCGTATATGAGATGGCGACACTGGCAGGATCCATCTTTTGTTGTGCAGTGAGGTAGTTGGGATGTCATCTGGTTAGCGACGTATAGTGAAACAGGAATAATTTTAGATAGTGTGTTTATTCCTTCATGGTGCAAATAGAAGTGAATTAATAATTCAAATACAATATAAAGAATCTTATGCCTACTCAGCATTTCCTTCAATATGCAATCCAGTGGTCTGCTAAAGAAGTCACGTTGCTTCGACACATTACAACTCCCCCGAAAAATACCATGGTTCAGTGATGAAATTACGGACACATGAGACTTGTCAACTTGTGTCTCCAGGCGACGAGCGCAGTGGCAGTGCCCCTCAGATCTTTACGATTTATGCTCTGAGCGGTACTGCAACGGTTAGGGGTGTGTAGCTTACCACCACGAACACGACTTGTTCGCCCCGTCATGCGTCACCTTGATACCTTAAAAAAACTGTATACTTAAGGTGGAAAGCTCGATGGTAGATCTACAGGGTTTCATGTCAAAGAGTTGCGTTTAAAATGTAAATGGGCATATTTATAATACACTTGTCGAAAGTCTGTATGTAGTATGTATGTACTATTTAAGAAAATTATGAAAAACGTTGCAAAATTACTTTAACAAATTTAACAATTTAAAACATGTACATCAATAAGGTTTCAAACTAAACCTTAAGTCAAAGGTCAGAAGTCATTCACGGATGAAGCAGTATCGATCTGCGCCTCTACCATGAGTTTACAATGACAATTGTCACTAGCGAGCGCGTAAAACATTTGACAATTTTGTATGATAAATTGTACAGCGTCTATAACGATCACAAGGATGCTACAAACCTTAATACAGGTTTTGTGTACCAAATATTTCAGACTGTTGCTACCGACAGCTGTCACTGTAATCTCATGGTAGAGGCCCTTATATTTATTATCGGATATCGCGCGGAGAAACTCGATACGCACGTCGTTTTCACTTATTACACGGACATAAAGATTTTTCTGACCGGCGTAAATCGATTCCGTATCAATAAGTGACTCTCTGAGTTACTTATTGTTATTTTTTTTAACTTTGACATAATAAATAGACTTCGTATTTATCAATCTATTTTATTTTCATAATATACAGGTAAAGTACATACAATAAAAGCTTAGATACTAGAAAGTAAAACTAGGATTAAATTTAATTTAAAATAGGAAATGAAACTATTTTTCTGGATTTAAATCCGGAAAAATAGTTTCATTTCCTATAGGATTAAATTATATGAATAAAATTAAGTCCCTGCGGCAAGGTGCCCGAGATGCTGGCAGCGAGCATACCTCTTTGTATGGCGATGCAAATGCGTTGGGCAAGGTACGAGTAGCTGGCTTTTGGGTTTCCCAGACAGTCTATTAATTTTTTGGGATAAAATTTTGTACTTCATATTTTGACGTTACTTTATTATGAATAAGAATTGATTTCTTTAAAATTTTCTAGGAATAAAATTAACTAGTCATGCATATTATAATAACATACGAAATATATGTATCATAAGGAAATTGAACTTTAAACTCCAATGAAATTGACGTAATTCGGTATTACAACACAAGCAGGCACGTACAGGGTCAAGAGCACATAAAGCTTGGCAGATTTAAATTGAACTCTATATGGCTTTGGACAAGAGCTCGCGAACGGTCCAAAATCCTGTGTCGAGCAAGTAGTGTACATTGCTTGGTCATTTTGACAAAGTTCAAAGATGATACGTCAATTTACCAATAATGCTGTGGATTGGACTTCTACTTATAACTTACAATCACAACTGAATCAGTGAGGAAACTAATATTTTATAAGTAAATAAATTTATACAAAATACTGCGGAAGTGTTTCAACTTGCAACATTTAACTCAAACTTACAAACAAATTATGGAAGTTAATAATATAGGCTTGTAAAAACGAAGGTCCAGTACAAATGAGAACTTTTGGTGAAATTACAGGCACATGAGACTTGTCAACTTATGTCACAGGTGACGGGCGCAGTGGCAGTGCCCCTCAGATGTTTGCGATTTAAAGCTCTTAATGGCACTGCAACTGCTATGGACAGGCGTGTAGCTTACCATCACGCGCACGACTTGTTCGTCCCGTCACTAAATACATATTATAAAAAAAGACTTTTAAACCTTTCAGCCAATCCGAACGGTAATAAAAAGAAAGAATTTTCTTCCATTTCAATATCTTTATTATCGCTTTTTCGTTTTTTAAGTAATTTGACAAATTAGCTGCTATATAAATAATTACGTCAACCCTAAAGAAAAGCCTTAATACAGTCTCCATTGAACCACTAAATACGTTAATGAGTTAACAAACTAATTATAACTACTTACTAGTAAGTACTTCTACTTCATACAAGTGAATATGGTCAGTCGAACGATAACAATACGGTAAACGTAACGTTTTTGCCCGTGTAAAGGTTTCGGATACTTTTTGGTTTATAATGTTCATTGAAATTCGTCGCGAGTTTTCTGCACTTGAAGTAAGTTAATGTTTCAAGTTTTCTTACTTAGGTGTAGGCTATAAAATATTTAAGTTATAAAACTGTATTTTGTACCCTTGGTATAGATAATAAGGCCACATGTGACCATACGTGCTTATATCACATGGAAGTAAAAAAAAATATTCGAATTGATGAAATGTGTTCAGACCGAGAGACTCAGAAGGTCAGCAGGTGGGCAGTGTTTTTTTTTATAATATCAAGATGAGCAAGTCGTGTGCCTGGTGGTAAGCTACACGCCTGTCCATAACATTTGCAGTGTCACTCAGAACTTAAAATCGCAAAGATCTGA